ATGGCCTCCAACCTACTAGCGACGGCCTCCAGCCTAGTAGCGATGGCCAACCTACTAGTGATGGCCTCCAACCTACTGCGTAGTAGCGATGGCTTCCACCCGGCCTCCAACCTACTGCGTAGTAGCGATGGCTTCCACCCTACTAGCGATGGCCTCCACCCTACTAGCGATGGCCTCCAACCAAGTAGCGATGGCCTTCAACTTCCTAGCGATGGCCTCCACCCCACTAGCGATGGCCTTCAAAATGAATGGGCCAGTCACTTGCTTTGTTTTTATTCCGCACAGTCCTTTCACCAGCAGGCGCTGACTCGTCACCGGCCTGATTTGTTGCTCACTCAGCGCAAAGAAATCCAATTGCATGCGAGGCCTTAGGTTCAATTGCCTGTCAGGTCAAGCCTTGTTTTTGTTCACAAGTTTTCTTTCCAGCCAGCAGCCAATGCTGATGTTCTGCAGTCTTGTTTCCTTCTTTGTTGACCAAGGCTCTTTGCAAGCGACAAGGTCCAGAAGCCAGAGGCCCACGGTCAGCAGCTAAATTAGATATTTGAGAGTCGTCCAAAAATCCGCGCAAGATTCGCCCAAGGCCGGCGCAAGGATAGTTTTCGGGAAACGGTATTTTGGACAACGCTCATATGACCTCGGAGTGCCATGTCTTCAGAGACTCAACCCTTCACAGCCTTCACCCTCGACGAAGGCAACAGCAGCTCCGGCGCAGAATTTTTCCTTCTGGGACCATTTGAGGCCAAGAACTTTGAAGATTTGAGCTGACACCATAGGATTCTTGCCTTTGAACCCCTTTGAAGCCCGCGACATCATAGGATCGCAGAAAACGGAGGCTTAAGCTTTCAAGTCTTTCAAGTCCATGTCACATCATTTGACTGTAGACTCACTGATGGATTTTGAGAGCACTTAGCTGACCCAGATCCACCGGGAAGTCTCTGTGCTTCGAAACTCCTGAGGACTGGGGCAGTCCAGAGATGGCCTCCAACCCTAAGAGCGATGGCCTCCATGGCCTCCAACCTAGCATGTCAATGGCGTTCGATTGACACGTGCGGGAAGCTCGACTGTTGATAGTGAAGGAGCCGCTGAGCAAAAAACAACGTATGCCGGGCATCCCAGGCTTCTTTCAATGCAAGGTCCCAAGATGCTTCAGATAATTTCAGGTAGAGCATTCAGTCCCTGGACCGCCAGCTCGAGCATCTCAATGTATCTCCCGTTGCTCCTACTAGCGATGCCGTTTGCTACTACATTTAGAAAAGATCATTTGTTGTGATGCGCTAGTCTTCCAAAGCTTTGTGGATCTATTTGTGCTTGAGCCTTCTGTGCCCAGGTCTGAAACAGGTTGATCGCAGGTGCAAAAGAGGTGTGCGAATAAGGAATATCCGGCCGATCCCAAGTTCTCCAAGATTCAGGACATGTAGATACCAGAATCTTGGGTCTGAAAGAGGGTCCGAAGGTAGATGTGACTAGCACCTTGAGACTTCCGTTGAGGAAGCCGCCTGGAGCAACGTCTATTTCCATATTCTTTTCGCCTTTGGTCTACTCATGGAGCTATGTCAACCGTTCCAAGCAGGTGTTTCATGCGGTTGGTTCGGAATTCTCCACTCTTTGCCCCGGCGCAGCTTCATCCACGTGGTCGGAATGGGCGACATGGGCTGGCTGGAGGCAGATCTGACAGAGAATCCAAACGAAACTTTCACAACTTTGGATACCTGAGGATACGAGGACAATGTCTAATATACATATACATTATCAAAGGCTCATCCAAGATTTGAAGTCAGAAGGTATACAGTATCCATGTCATAAGAAAGCATGTGCTACTGCATGCTTCTGTCTTCATCTGTCTCCTGAGTCGTCCAGTCTTGCATAAAATCATGCACCCAGGTTCTTCCACTGTAAGTCTTGCAGATTCTTCTTTCTCGAACGAAGGGACGAAACATTAATCGTTTTTCTTGCCATTAGCTGGGAGGCCATTCCTATTAGGAGCAAAGGGCATCGCTACTAGGAGCAAGGACGCTACTAGTAACAAGTGCATCGCTTCTAGTAACAAGTGCCTTACTAGTAGTAACAAGGCTCCTGGCATCGCTACGAGGAGCAAGGACGCTACTAGGTTGGAGACCACCGCGCCAACGACTCAGGCAGGAAGAAGGACCACCTCAGCGGATTCTTCGACTCACAGGACCTGTGAAGACCTCAGCTTTACAGAGGACTCCAGCGGTGTGAAGACCTCTGTGGTCTTAGGTGAAGCTCTACAAAGAGGTGCAAGATGGCACAAGTATGCACAAGTATGATGTGTGTACCTTTCTTTCTGATTGGTCCTTTCCTCCTTTCTTTTAAACAGACCTTTAGACATGTTTAGGTTCAGACATGCTTGCTTTCTGATGGCTTTTTGGATCTTTTTTGGACCAAGCTGTTCGGACCATGGCGTGTGCAAAGTCGTCGCTGAGCAGCCTGTGGATATGCGCATTGTGCCTGCGGATGCTATGTGAAGCGACACAGGAGGGCTGTCCTGAATCTCAAGGTTCGCTATGGCTGCAGAAAGGTGTCGTCCGGTCATCGGTTGTAGCCAAAGATACAGTCAGCAACAAGGATGATGACGATGAAGACGAGGATGACGATGAGGAGGATTTGCCCTTGTTCGACAACTCACCGGGCCAATCTGGAAACGGTAAACCCTTGAAGTCGTGTCAGGGCAGTTGCTCCGCAGACGAGGACTGTGAGGGAGAGCTGGTGTGCATCCAACCGAAGTTCGTGGGCTGGGATGGGATTGTTCCCGGCTGCCGCTCCGATGGCTTTCACAAGCCACTTTGGGCCTTCAAGTATTGCGGGCCAACGCCACCGGAAGGATGGCGCACTACCACCACAACGACTACCACACCAGAGCCAACACCACCACCGCCTGCAGCTCCATCTGTAATCACCAATTGCCCAGGGGTTTGTGCCAGACTCATGGCCTTTAATGTGTATTATGCTCAGCTGGGCAAGGAAAGCCGTATGGAGGGAATTGCATCCTCCATTGCAGAGATGACTCCTGACATCGCAGTGATTACCGAACAATGGAGTGAGCAGCAACAGATTCTTGAGAAGATTCGACAGAAGACTTACCGCCACTACGAGTTTTGCAGAGGTGGTTCCCAAGAAAAGTGGTGGGATGGGGACATCCTCTATCGAGCAGACTTGTTTGAGAGGGAGGAGGATTCTGTTCTGGATTGGGGATCCAACAGAGGATTGAGTTGGGCTGTGCTCCGGCACAAAGCTTCGGGAAGGCGCTTGCTGATCTATGGCGCTCATCCAGTTTGCTGTGGCAATGAGAACATCCATTTGCAGAACGCTGTAGATTTTTCGACGCATGCCGCGGAGAAGATCAATGACTATCCAAATGCTCCAATCGTCATCATGGGTGACTTCAATGCTTTGGAAGATTGGAAATCCACCAAACTCTACCTGGGTGAGGAGGTCCATGAGAATGGTAAGAACTACAAGTCACTTTGCAAACAAATGAACAAATTGCTGCATACTGCTTGTTCGATCTATAATGATCTATATATATATATATCTATTGCCATCTGTGACATCTATAGACAATCTACCTGGAATTTGCCCCTCAAAGTACTTCAGTGCTCTCCTTACGCTTTGGAAATGTCAACTTACCAACAAAGCCACAAGCACCTTTGCATTCATGGTACTTGGTACATCTTGGTAACTTTACCGTAAGGCCGCCTTGAAGGAACTTGATGGAGATGAACCAAAGCTATCAATTTGTTGAACGAGTTGCCACTGCCAAGGCTAAAGTTTAAATTTCGAGATGCCTTCAGAGACACAAACTCACCCTATGTGGATGCTACGACGCACAACAGCGGTGCTCGATTGGACTACATCTTCTTGGAAAGGAGCGCTCTCTGGTTACTAAGCAAGAAGAGCTCAAGATAGCTCAACCAACCTACTAGCGATGGCCTCCAACCTAATAGGAATGGTCTCCAACCTAATAGCCACGGCCTCCAACCATTTGTGCTTGGCGGGCCAGCACCTCAAAGACTTTTCCATGATTGTACACACCAGTCCCGCAGTCACACCATGCATCCTCAAGCATCAAGCCCTGCAGGGGAGAGGAACGGCAGCAGCCGATCACCCAAGGCGTGGCAGTTTCGATTTGTGGGGGTGCAAAGCATGGTAAGACAGGCATGGGACCAACCAAGCAGAAGAAATCCAATCAACCAGTCGGTCATTCCTTCTCCAGTCCTTTCACCCGTCGTTCCTTTTTTTGGACAGCAAAATGAACGCGGTTGATGCGCTTCACCCGTGCAGGCTTCCGCACGATGCAGTCATGGATTTGGAGAAATGCAGGAGGAGAGAGCGACGGGAGCACGACGGGAGCTCGAAAGAACTGCAGAATTCATATCACAATCACGGAAATTGCCCATAGTAAATACAGACCGTTGTTACCCATAAATACAGGCCAGCTTCCAAAAGACAGATTTTGACAGCGAAATGGTCTCGCCGTTTTGGAGGCGGCTCCGATCACTACCCGATCCTGGCTGACGTGGAACTTCTGGGCTGAGAAGCTATGTAGGTTGAATTCAGTGTGCAGTTGCAGGTGTTGCATGTACACCAAAAGCATGTACACCATGTGCAAAGAAGATCTCCACCAGCAAAAGCCGGCAAACACAGCTTTTGCTGGAGCCGCCAAAACGGTGGCATAGCAAAAAATGCACGTCGTCACGTAGGTTTAGCGCAAAAGTGGAGGTCATGGATGGTCACCGTGTGACGACAATGCATTATTGAGAAAGGCAAAGATCGATTGTATTTGATGTTAGCCTGGTAGCATCTCTTGAAGGCAGCTTCAGAAGAGGTTCTTCAAGATCTCACGAGTGGAGAATTGCATGCCTGGCTTGGTTTGTACCATTGTCGTTGGACTGTTCCAGCGGCAAATGCAGCATGTTTGGCAGGTTGATTGGTGTGGGTGAAGAGGCTTTGCAGGCCCAGTCTGAACACGATTTGTATGTAGTGGTGTGGTGAGCGGGCACTGAAGTTTTGCTGCGGACTTTGATGCACTATGATTTGCGATGCATTTCAATTTGCAGCTAGGTTCAAGAATGAGGGCATACTTGTGCCGCAAGTCAGAAAGACTGCGGACTTTCTTCGGCCGTGGGAAAGCTGCTTTGCTTTCGACGAGCATTGCAATCGTCTTGCGGAGTAGCGCCTTTAGTTCAGTCTCCATGGCCTCCGACAGCAGACCAGCGGTGTTTGTGGTTGGGAACGAGGCGGCTGACGTGGATTCCTTGGTTGCAGCATATACTATGGCTCAGCTGCTTGAGAGCTCCGAGGTACTGCTGTCCAAATGGAAGAAACAAGAAGACACAGTTTTTGTTCTTTTCTTACTCCTTCCATCTGACTTCCTTTCTTTGTTCGCCTCCAACCTACTAGCGATGGTTTCCAACCTACTCGTGATGGTCTCCAACCTCTAAGAGCGATGGCTTCCAACCTACTCGCGATGGTCTCCAACCTCTAAGAGCGATGGCCTTCAACCTAGTAGCGATGGCCTCTTCTAGTTTTTTTGTTCTTTCTTTGTTTCCTTCCTCAGCTGAAGAGCCCCCTGCCATGCCTTGAGGTCCAGGCCATTGCATTGGCTCAAATCCCAAGAGAGGAGTTTCGACTCCGGGGCGATGCCGTTGCCCTCTTTCGAGAAGCTGGGAGCCGGACCTTGGAGGATGGAAGTCCTGTTTCAATGCGATTCTGGAATGAAGTTGATTGGGGTGAGGTGAAGAAGTTAGAAAGCCGCTCACTGGTACTTGTTGATCACAACAAGATGACTGATCAAGTGGCTGCACTCTTTGAGGGCCGAGTAACACAAGTTTTAGATCACCACGCTGGTGGTGTATCATATCCAAAGGCCCAGAGCATCATTGATGAGAGCTTGGGATCCTGCTGCTCCTTGGTGGTAGAGCAGTTCATGCAGACAAAGGGTTCCAATCTTACAAAAGAGTTGGGCACCTTAATGGCTGGTGCTATTTTACTCGACTGTCGAAACTTTGATCCAGCTGCCAAGAAGGGCACGAGCCGTGACCAAGCTGCGCTAAGACACTTGGAGTCTGTCGACGTGCCTTCCAAAGACCCAACTCGGTGGTACAAGGAACTCATGGACGCTCGCAAGGACGTGTCTCATTTGACCGTGCGAGATTTGATGCTGCTGGATACGAAGGTCGTAACCCTCCGTGGTATGAACGTTGCTGTTGCCAGCATTTTCGGTACCATTACAGAGGTTTGCGCCAGGGCTGGGACATCCGCTCACGTGGCAGAAATTGCAAAGACCCTAGCTGCAGAACGAGGGTATAGTGCAATCATTCTACTTTTCAGCAAAGACAAGTTGATGGGCAAGCGAAGAGCTTTGGCATTTGTACCGCTGGACTCCCCTTCGTCCGAGTTGTGCGAAGACATTGCAAAGCAGATGTCTGAGACTCCTGGGAATTTACCCCAAGATCTGCGAGAAAATCCCTTGTACCAAACACAGGGGCTGGTGGAGACTGGCTTTGAGCTTCAACCCATCAAAGAGCTAGAACCACTAAATGTGTACAGTCTCAAGGGCGATGTGTCAAGAAAGACGGTGCTGCCTTTCGCCACGATGGCTGCCCTGGCTGCTGCTGAGCGATCTGCACAGCCCTTTTGAGTCGTTGAGTCTGTTGCGGTCCGATCCTTTCAAGGACCGGATCCAGATTTCGACGTCAAAAATGAAGCTGGAGGGGCAATTGGGTAGTAGATGGTAACAGCATGTAACAGCAACATCTGAGAGTACTTGACTCCATACTGCACGCCTGGAACGAAGGGTAGATAGTCCAGTACCGGTATGGGGAGACTTCAATTTCAACTCTTCACTTTTTTTGAATGTTCCAACAAGCATAATCTGAGGTGTTTATGTCATGATGATCGATTCCTGACTTTTCTAATTGTCCGTGATAGCATCATCTAGCGGGTAGACCAGATGCGGCCAACTTCACATCCCGGCTGATTGTCAACTGCTTCCCAGGTCGGCAGCGATGTGGCCAATGGCTGGCTTTTCGTGCGAAGACCCACCGAGGAGATTTTCTTTACATGATGAGCGATGACCTCCAACCTAGAAGCGATGGCCTCCAACCTGCTAGCAATGGCCTCCAACCTAAGAGCGAAGGCCTCCAACCTAAGAGCGATGGCCTCCAACCTGCTAGCGATGGCCTCCAACCTACTAGCGATGGCCTCCAACCTAAGAGCCATTACCTCCAACCTACTAGCTATGGCCTCCAACCTACTAGGGATGGCCTCCAACCTAAGAGCATGGCCTCCAACCTAGTAGCGATGGCCTCCAACCTAAGAGCGATGGCCTCCAACCTACTAGCGATGGCCTCCAACCTAAGAGCAGTCACCTCCAACCTACTAGCTATGGCCTCCAACCTAGTAGCGATGGCCTCCAACCTAAGAGCGATGGCCTCCAACCTACTAGCGATGGCCTCCAACCT